AATCAGAAGCGCGTAACTTTTCCATGTATATTATTTTTATTAAAAATTTTGAAGCAAATTAACTGTATTACTTGCGATTATAAAACTGCTGGACGACTATTTCGGCATGGGTATGCTTCTGTTCTCTATACGAGACGGAGAGTCTAAACATGTTTAGCCGCCACTGGAAAACTGTCATGTTGGTTTTGCACCGAAACAGTGCACACCCTTCAAAACGCACGAAATGGAGTCTTTCAAATCTCTCAGGAGAACATGCCAACTTCCCCCTAGAATAGCTCCGTCGCTAGTAAAAACAGCTTTTACCTCTTACTTTCCGCTCCCTCCCATGTCATTAATTGGACACAACCTAGGTTTGGGCCTTCAGCGGGGCTCTCTTGACTTGGTTTCGGCGTCACGCAATACGGTACTACACAGTTGTCGATTTTGATTAAATGAACCTGTTAGCCCAAACCTCTTGTGGCATGTTTATTGAGATGGAGTTATTAATTGGCTCTTACTTAATCATTTGAAGCTGAGGAAAGGAAAACACCGCCTTGTTGCTTGGCAGTGAAGAAGTACAGACCACAGCTAATTAAAACACTTACGTACAAGGAAAGGTGAGACCTGTAAACCCAATCTGTCACGAGTCAGTTTTCTCAGGCGGCATTTAAATCATTTATGGTCCATTTTGCAAAACAGTAATTCTTCCAAAATTACTGCCTCGCGAAATAAACTTAGAAGACTTTCATATAGGTGAAGATAGCTTAGACCTTTTGAGATTTGATAGTGCTTTAAATTGAAACTTACCGAAAACCTATTGTATGACACGAGAATAACAACATCGTTACCACTGAGTGAAAATAGCCTAGCTATTACGCAAAACAGTAATTTTTCTGACATTACTACTTTGAGAAATTAATTATATCTGGATAGAGAAAGAGGAGGTGACCGAACCCTTCGAGAATATACTATAATGAAATGTTTAAGCGTATTTTTGTGACCCGAAAAGAAAGTTATTGAGGGGTAAAAATAGTCCATTTCGCAAAATAGTAACTCTCCTAAAATTACTATTTTGCGAAATAAATTTTGAAACGGTTTAAGAAATAAGAGGAGGCCAAGATGTTCGGTGATATACTAATTTGTAATGTTTAAATGTATTTTTGTGACATGAAAGAGGTCACGTTGTCACCGCAGGGGTGAAAATAGTCCATTTCGCAAAATAGTAACTCTCCTAGAATTGCTATTTTGCGAAATATATTTTAATACGGTTTAAGAAATGAGAGGAGGCCAAAATGTTCGGTGATATACTAATTTGTAATGTTTAAATGTATTTTCATGACGTGAAAGAGGTCACGTTGTCACCGCAGGGTGAAAATAGTCCATTTCGCAAAATAGTAACTCTCCTAAAATTACTATTTTGCGAAATATATTTTAATACGGTTTAAGAAATAAGAGGAGGCCAAAATGTTCGGTGATATACTAATTTGTTATGTTTAAATGTATTTTTGTGACATGAAAGAGGTCACGTTGTCACCGCAGGGGTGAAAATAGTCCATTTCGCAAAATAGTAACTCTCCTAAAATTACTATTTTGCGAAATACATTTTAATACGGTTTAAGAAATAAGAGGAGGCCAAAATGTTCGTTGATATACTAATTTGTAATGTTTAGATGTATTCTCGTGACATGAAAGAGGTCACGTTGTCACCGCAGGGGTGAAAATGGTCCATTTCGCAAAATAGTAACTCTCCTAAAATTACTATTTTGCGAAATGAATAAAAATCCTTCTTGTTAATGAATGATTACTCCAAAATCTTTGTGAAAGTTATCTTTACCTTATTAGAAAATACATCTGCATTATTTCTTTTGTTTTATTTCATCTGACCCGATTTCGTTTCGTTTCGTTTCGTTTCGTTTCGTTTCGCAAAATAGTATAAGCCGTCTCGAGATCGGTCAGCATTAGATTCCATCCACCAAAACCACCTTGGTCGAGAGGGACTGAGATGGAATGATGGAAAAAAATTACGAAGCTACGACAACATGCCGACTTATCCCGATGACCCAAATGTATTATTTGTTTGGGAAATTGCGTCAAAAATTTTTACTAAAGAAATGGTAAGTATTAATTTATTGTTCGATTGTAGTATTATAAAACATTTTACGCAATTTTATGCAGATATTTCACGTATTTAAAAGGTGCTTAGATGTTACGTAGTTTTGGTGGATGTCATTAGGGAACATCCACCAAAACTTTGACCAAAACCATCAACAATATATTTTTTAAATTTTATCTATAGCCATTGTTAGATGTTCAGGGAGACAAAAGATTTATACCACTAATTAGCAGTTAGTGCTCTGGCTAATTATTTTTAATGGTGCACAATTGCTGACCGACCAAACGTTCATAATGATTATCATAACTCTTAACACATAGGATAAAGTGGTTTTGGTGGATGTTTCTCTCCATCCACCAAAACCACCACAGAAATTTCTGCTACTTCCTTACAGAAGACTGATGTGACCTGCTATTCGGAGTACATAACCACAATCTATTTCTTTGTATGTAGAGATATTTTGGAAAGTTCTTGAGTCAGCACCTTTTATTATTGAAACCATAATCATAACATGGTGCATAATATAGAATACAAAAGGTTCTGGTGTGGTAATCATGTAATCTTGAAACAGGAGAGTTTTTAACTGACTTAAACTGATTTAAACAAACATTTGCAACAAAATTCCAGGTCCAGAAATTTCTTCCACTATTTCCGCTAAAATCATAACCTTTAAGTACAACAAATCAGCACATTAGTAATTGTTATCAGGGGTCTGAAAATCCTATAAATCTTTCACATTTATTTCAAGTAACCTTTAATTTCACATGGATGAATAAGTATACACTCAACATGCAGAATGTCTTAAAGTTTACAAACTATTTCCCTTTTTATGGATAGACAGTGAAAGGCCTTTGCCACATTGGTGAATCAAACCATTGTATACCATGCATTTTGTGATAATTGTTTGTTTTTGCTCACAATACCCAGAAAAATGGAGGGGATAAATTTAAATAGCAAATTCTATGGTTAAAATTAAATAACATTGGAAGATCAAATTAACTTTGTACTGTTTAAAATTCAGTTTTGGTTTCTTGCTTATTCCAGCCTCTTGATATTCAAAAGCATTCCTTGTCATTTTTGTGTTCTTCTGTGTACATAACTTGAAAAATAAACACAGAGAAAGGAAACCACAAAGGATTAAACTTGAAGCTAAAGCAAAGTTTAAGTTGAGCCATAGCTGATCCAAATACTGAGCACTTTGTATTGTAACCCATTTAGCAGTAAAGTTTATCTATATGTCTGCCAGCTTGTCACAAGTCTTACCCCTCTCCTTCAAAAGTCTCTATAAATAAATTTTTCTTTGTGGTCCCTAATTGATGATTAGTATATTACAGCTCCTCAATTTTCCTCTCTCAAGACAAGGTTACTCTAAATTTAACAAAGTAATGGACTTGATAAAACTCAAACTATAACTCAGCTGGCTGCTACTTGCAACCTTAATTTCTAGATATCAGCATACAATAATCAATATGTTATAAATAAGAACCCTAATGCTTAATTTTGCTGTGATCACCTTCCTCCTTTTCATTTGCAGACCAGACTGGAACCTCTATAGGTGTGTTTGCTTGTTTTGAGTGGGGATGGAAGAAAAGGAGTCATGCCGCATATCTGATTTATTAAATTGGATTTGTTCTGTTTATACATGAGTAGAACTACCTAGTTCTCTGAAAAAAAAAATTTCTCGCATTTTTATATGTGCTTTGCAGTCAAACTTCCTTGTGTCTTGGACAAGAAATCTTATTTTCTTGAAAACAAAATCTTTGTTTCCAGCCTTCTGTAATAGGTAAATATAACAGTGTAAGATGAGTGACAGTGTATTTCTCAAGTTATTTTTTGGAATGTGACAAAACAGAAGTGTCATAGTGTGATAAGGAGCCAACATATGATTGCTTGATAGAAAGCAAAAAATGCAGAATTGCATATATTTTCTCCTTTGTCAGCAGCATATGTTAGTGAAAAGTTCTTATAATTGTTAACTTCTAAACCATCTTCAATTTAGTCAAGATTGAACTGTTATCACGTTTGTCATAAAAGTATTCTGAGATCAATGTCATATGACCCATTCATGTATTTGACCTTTTGAATTAGCAAGCCATAGTTGACAGAAACACAAAGGTTGAGGATATAAAGAAATTATTATATACAGTACTTCTTCTGCATCTTTTCGTTTCTTTTTCTCTCCAGCTGTTCTATCTATGCCGTGCTGGCAATTGCACTTTCCTTCCCAAAATTAGGAAAGGCACACCAGTAAAAAACGAATTTTTGCTCCTTAAATATCTCATGCATCTTCCCCCAGTATTTTGTGACTTCTGTCCAAGGAAGGAGGTGTAAGCATTAAATTAATCCGAATGATTCCACAATTGTGGTAGAACTTGAACTAGATAAACTAGTGAGAATGCACAATAGCGATAGCAAAGCTTTGTAATGTCAAAGAGCTATATCAATATATATATATATATACACCGGTGTTCCCGAAACCTTTGACAGCTTTAAAGAAAGAAAACTTCGTCGTCAATCCTGTTTCAAATTCCGCAATAAGTTTATGCGCCTCATCAACAGAATTTACGTATCCTAAATTATCTGCATGTCTACCATCAATGGTTCGCGACTTAAAATTCTCGCTATGCTGTTTCTGTTTGTTCCTCAAGAATCATGGGATTTACAGCTTCGGATGTTCGGCTACATCACTTGCGGATTTCCGAGAATCTTCGGTTATGTCATTAAATATTCCATCTCAGTCCCTCTCGACCGAGGTGGTTTTGGTGGATGGAATCTAATGCTGACCCTCGAGATCATGCTGTTTCAGTCACAATTCTTCCGCTTGTGTCCGCCATGTTGGTCGGCTAACCAGTACAAGTGAAAGCCTGTATCATCTTCGTGCTACAGAAGACCCATACATTTAGAAAATATGTCTGAAATCGAGTACAATGACCTTGTATTTGATATAAGTACAAAAATTAACGTAAACCAATTGGAAAAAATGGTTTTTATGTGCAGAGGGCAGATCTCAAAAAGCAGGAAAAAAAAGTTTAAAAATGTACTCGAATTACTTGTAGAACTTGAGGAACAGGGTAACCTCGGAATTGACCGGTTAGAAACGTTGAAACAGATTTTGGAAAGGTTAAAGAACCAACGTATGCTCAAGAAGGTGAAGGAGTTTGAGAACAAGAGAAAAGGTGCCCAATTAATACTAGTCATATTTTTTTTAGGATTCAGCGAAGAAAATTTGAAAAGCCGGAAGTGCCTTTTTGCTCAAGAAGTTCAATTTAAGGCTTACAGCTTCTTCACTGATTGCATAAGAAATGATTTCTGGTGGAGAGGGATTATGTAGTAATTTGATAATTTCAATTAGCAGATATTGCTTTAGAATTTTATGTTGCCATGATCCCAGTATCAAGAATCTTTTGTCATCATGGCTTTAGATAACCATACGAATCCTTTAAATTTCAGCTCAGTCAGTCGGCATCATTGCTTCATTTAAGCAGGCCGCTGTCAATTTGAAAGGAGGTAAGGTGTGAAAAGGCAGGGTTCTTGTGCATGTAAAATATTTAGGGTAAACAGGCATAGGCCAGATGCTGAATATGAGTAAAAGAAATGCAAGATAAAATTAGATAGTATTTATAATGGTGTTAGAATCAGTGTTTGGCCAGTTATGCATTACAGCACAGTTTTATTAGAGCATTTTTGTTTGCTTCACAATAAAGTACTCTTTTAAGTCCCAGTTCATCTAATATAAGTTCCAAGTAGCCAGAAACAATGATAATCAGGGATACAGGCAAAAATGCATGACTTAGTTCCAACCTCTCTTCTAAACTTTCCATTTTGAAGAAGTACCTAATAGTTTAATTCTTTCAATGCTCACAAACTTTCAAAATTTGGCTTCTGCTTGGTGTACTGACAAAATATGAAAATATATTTATTTGCCCATAAATTAGTTCAACCTGACAGGGCACTCATCTGGAAGCTATAGAGAGAGAATTAATTAGGATAAATGCTTGTGGAAAATTTGCCATCTATGTAATACTGTAATGTTGTCATTAGCTTTCAATCACAACTGGAAAATTATATTTAAGAAAAGCAGACTTTTGTCCAGAGGTCTTGTTTAAAATTTATACACAAATGGCCTTCAGCCTGTAGTTGACTACTATTAATGTGATGAGGTGACTTCAAAATCTGCCAGATTAATTGTTTTCAACAGATTTTTGTTAAGATTTTTATACCTGGCATTTCACAATATTCAAAAGCATTCCAGTCATGTCACATGAATTCATTTGCATTGTGAGAACAAAACCAAAAGATTGTGTACAGGCTGGAACTCTTATCACCACTGTTAATTATTTTATCTGTGAATTTTTCCCAGCTTTAAATTAAACAATTATTATTCTCCTCCACAAAACACTACTGGTTGCTGACTAAGTTTTAGTACCAGTATTTGCAAATAGTTCTAATACATGTAGTAAGACATAGAGGTGAAAACTAATATGAACAAAATACCATACAAAATTACCTTTGGATACTGATTCAGTTGGCCCTAATAGTTTGTATTGTGCAACTACAATAAGTTAATAAAGTTAAGTTCTATTTTACTGACACTATAGTGATCAGGTGATTAGAGTTTGTGTAATGTGTTACTACAATCCTAGCAGTATGCAGGACACATGATGTCACATGAACTTCATAATAGACCTCGCTTACTGTAGAATCCTTGTGGCTAATAGTAGTAGGGCATTGGAGTGTGGAATCTGTAGGTCTGAGGCTCAGAACTTACCATCTTCCTTATTCTATTTGCAAACTCCTGTTTTGCATACAGTTACAAAAACCTGAACACATCATTTACAGAGGCAAAGCCATGCAAAATTAAATTTGTATGGCTTTTTAGTGTTGTTCTTGTGGGTTGAATATTACATCCTAGTTTATTTCTGCCCTGTTACAAGAAAGCATATCAATACTGTATATTGATTAATTTTAAGAAAGGTGTTTTTTGTCTTGTCACAAGTGTGGGACAAAGAAAAAATTCTGAGTCCCATGAGGAATCAAACCCCAGACCTTTGGATTTGCACTCCGATGCTCTACCACTGAGCCACACAGACTCTTCGGTGAGCAAGGTCTATTATGAAATTCTAATGACACGTGTCCCGCATACTGCTAGGATCAGCAATGTTGATAATGTAATGTTTTTGACAGAAAAGTAGGGATGGTAAGTTTTGAGCCCAGTGAAGAATTAAGAAAGATGTTTTTTCGTCTTGTCACAAGCGCGGGACAAAGAAAAATTCTGAGTCCCCATGAGGACTAATTCTGAGGACATTAATTCTTCGCCAAGCTCAAAACTTACCATCCCTACTTTTTTTGATTAATTTTGTTTCTAGATACACACTGAAAAACTGTTAGAAACTGTAACTATCTCAAAAACAACATTTTTTCCCTTAAATGTTCTTAAAAGAGAAGTTCGACTGTCCAATCATATATCCTCATATTTAAAATGTAGTCTTAACTTGAAGCTTAAATAATTTTGAATATGATTAATTCAGAGAGTAATTAATTTCTTACTTGTATAAAAAAAATCTGCAGTTGTAAAGAAGCTACTTTTATACCACAATTAATTTTGAGAGTATATATAATTGGTCAATATAATTGTATTTTTAATGTCTTAAAATCACTCAAACAGGGCTGTCATCCTTGAGTGACTGATATTGTAAAAATCACTGGATTAGTGTGTGTATGTGTGTATGTGTGGGTGGGTATGAGTGCATGTTGCGTGCTGAGAGTGGGTGGGTGGGTGAGTATGTGGAGGGGGGAGGGGGCAGCATTGTAGTGCAATTCTATCTTGGAGGAAATGTTTTGGAAAAATTTGCTATATGTCTGTTGCAATGTTTCTTTCAATGATATATTGTGATTAAGTAATATCAAAAATTACTTGTTTCAATAGCGATCAAGATGATTTGTAACTCTCGCAACATTGGTCGTGCTCTCCTGGTAGTTAGTGCCGGCATGGCTCTCTATGAATGCTCAACTCTTGATGAGTATTTCGAGACCTTTACCAAAATGGTGTTGCCTGCATCCACCAAACTGATTGAAATCAGAGAGGGATCTCTGTGCTTCACAGTACAAGCAGAGACGCCAGCAGCTCTAAAGGAGTTATGGGACATCTACAAAGATGGAACATTGCAGAGACGTCTTCAAAAATTTCTAGTTAACGATGACATCAAACAGTTGACAGATGCAGAAGACATTGAGGTGGCTGTTTTCATTGATGAGCAAGAGTATATGACATCATTTAATTTTCTGCAAAATCAAGGTATGGTAACATATGTACAGATGCGTGTTGAATTTAAGTTTGGAGAGAACGTTGGACGAGAAAAGCTACTACAATAGAGTTAAAATTCCTGGGAAAAGTTGTTGAAAACATATGCTATATCCAAATATTCAAAAAGACCAATTCTTGCGTGTACACAGAACTTCCCCTTCCCCCTCCAACGATGTTGTTAAAACTTAACAGTCACCACGTCTTAGTCAAGTTTACAGAGCACACAAATTCGACATTCTTTGGGGGGGAGGGGGAAGGATTTGATATTAGTAATTTTGCGTTAAGTTTCCCTCCTTTGTTGGTCAAACAATATGGAACACGTTTCATCAAGGTGATGCTGATTCCGTTTGCAGCTATGAATTATATAAAAAAGGGAAAAGTAAGACTCACCCTTTCAACACTGGAAGCTAATCCTCAACTTAAACAAGTAATCAGCCTGTTTTAAAAAGAAAGAACGTACTGTTACCCAGAAACGATGTCGTTATCTTGCATTGAACAATGATTGCTGTATCTGACAATCCAGCAACATTAATTGATCCTAACTTAATCCTCTTTCTTATTGTATCCTTACGGCAGTGCCTGATTTGAAAGAAGAGCGGTTTCGAAGGAAATCTGACTCCTTCTTTCACATCAATTCAAATCAGAGAGAGATTGCTGTGATGAGGCTGACACAAGTAGAAAACCAGTTGAGCTTTGAAAGACAAGTTCATGGAGAGGAAATAAAAAAACTCAAGGAGAAGATTATCCTGACAAGAGAGTCAAGGGGTAGGATTGATTAAACTCTACATTCTGTACGTATCCTATGCTCTGGCTGGGATCAGTTACCGGACAATGTGAAGGTTATATTTTAAAACACATTTATATGGGAAAGAGCTCGGGAATCAGCTAGGTTTTGTGTAGAGTATAATTAAATTGAAAAAGTAAAGAATGTCGTAGTAGAATGGTACCTTGTTGATTTTCAGGCCAATCCGACATTCTTCGTATAGTATATACCACGACCAAATGCAAAAGCACCAAGAATGCATGCTGATGATTTCATTCCCATCCTTATTCTTCTCGCTGGTCTCGGTTCAAAGAAGTCAGGGATGATTTTTGCTCATTTTCGTTGAAACCTGACAAATTTTTAATATTTTTAAATTATTTTTTTGATCTTTCATACAGCGCCAAATATCAAACAGGAAGAACTGCCTGGACGAAGAACTCGAAGGCATTCGGAGTCTTTTCTTTATTACAAACGAAATGAGGTCGAGGTAGCTTCGATGAGGCAATTGGAGCAAGCAGAAGAATGGAGGAAAGAGAAACAGATTTTTGAATTAAAGATCGCAGAGCTTGAAGAAACTCTGAAAGCAGAAAGGATGAGCAATATGGACCGTAAGCATTCAGGTACCCACTAAATCTTTTTGAGCTTAACGAAATATCGGCGATGGGTGGTAACATTGTGGGTAGGGTAATTTTTGTTCGAACACGTGAATGGCTTTCGTAATACTTTAGAAGATATTCTGAATTTTTCCACTCTAACAAGTTAGCGTGGTAAAATAAATGCTTCTTGAAGAAAAGGGTGTAGAAGATACTCCACGGTGAGCGAGGTCTATTTCGAATTTCATATGACACGCGTCCTGCATACTGCAGTTTCGATAGCTTCAGGTTCGATTCCTCATGGGGACTCTTTTATTTTCTTTGTCCCACGCTCGTGACAAGACAAAAAACATCTTTCTCTATTCCTCTACCGAGCTCAAAACTTACCATCTGTCTTATTCTATTGACAAACATGGTAAGAATCTCCATCGATCGATACGAAGAGTCTGGTCAGATTAAGGACAAACCTTCTATCACAACCAGTTGCGATGAGGAGGTTACAAGGGGGCCGTTACAAACAAGCATAAGTACATAAAACGTTTTAGAAATTATATCTTCTTTAGGCCATCACAACTTCCATTTTGCTTGAGGATAAGCTTTTTTAGTTATCATTTTTTGTCTTTAATTATTCCAGAAGCTACGACTCTCGGGAGACCTTGGAAGAGGCGACGCAGAAATTCTGATTCTAACTTGTACTACATGGCAAGAAAAGAGGGAGTTGAACAAACTGGAAAACAACCAGAGCGAGCTTTAGAAGGAGGAGCACAAATGGACTTAGAGAGGCGTATGTTCGTACATAATTATTTGCAGAATAGGAGACTTAAATTTAGCGTTCGTTTTAAAATTTATCCCCAGATAAATTTTCGTTATTTGCTGTATTTTTCATCCTCGTCCGTTGTGACATTGAACCGTACTCCCCAGCCGTGTTATCAATATCTGACTCGGTAAATTAAAGGAGAGGTTAGTCACCTCATTTCCCATAAAAGTGAAATTGATTATCTGTCCTTTGTTATCGAAGCGAAGAATAGGGCTGCACGAAAACCTTGTTGACGTGTCTGCTTCTTCTGGAGGAGATAATTTTCTAACCTCGAGGCTGGATTGTGGCAAACAGTGGACCTGATATCAATGATGAGAGAATTAGAGGTCTTTAGCAGAAAAGAATATGGAAAGAAGCCACGTTCATGTGTACAACAGAGGAGAATTTGTCGTGTCTTATAAGGTTTATAACGCATGAAGAGCCGACTAATTAGTAATTTTGCGGCGGAAAGTGAGGTAAACCATCAAGGCTAACCGAGTTAGATTATACTCAGTTTCAGCTGAATTATACAAAATACAGAGGCCACTTTTCAGACATTTACGTTTTATAATCAATTGGACTATTTTATTCAGGAAATAGACGATTGTCTGAGACCCAAGTGACCCAAACTCAGATTTAAAGCGGCTTCGTTTTAGTTTGATCGGATTTTTAGTTCGATCCTCACTAATTATGACGGTATTTTGTCGAACAGGCAGCTATGCTAAATACTAAGAAACAAAAAACGTTGGGTCTATGAATTGTAAACTTTGGGTCTATGAATTGTAACTTCTTCGGTTACATTCATTAAATCTGTAAAGGTGTTGAGGTGTTTACTGATTTAAGTAGTCAGGCTTTGGTGACTTCGATGCTGGTTCAAAGTGTAGAAAGAGCCCACTTTTTAAGCCGTAAGTATGAACCAGGAGGGTGATGGGGGTATTTTATCTTTTTCGTGGAAAAGAGGTTGTAGCTTGGTTGTCTGGAACAAACGAACGAACAAACGAAAGAACACACGAACGAACGAACAACCGAACGAACGAACAAGCGAACGAACGAACACACGCACGAACGAGCAACCGAACGAACAAACACACGAACGAAGAATGAAGGAACAAATGTACTAAGGAAAAAAAAAGAAACGAACGAGCGAACCAATGAACAAGCGGAAGAACGAATGAACGAGCCAACCAATGAGCAAATGTACGAACGAACGAATAAATGGAAGAATGAAAAAATGAACGACAGAACGAATGCATGAACTAACGAACGAAAAACAAACGAACAAACGAATGCGCGCACGGAAAAACCAAAGAACAATCGAAGAAACGAACGAATGATGGAAGGAAAGTTGACTTCTCTTACACTATTGGATAAATTTGGTCGGGAGATGCTGTAAGCAAATAAAAAACAAAACATATTTTCTCAGTCATTCGAGACAAAAAAATGCAAGAAAAGGTAGAGATATTACAGGTTGAACTACGTTCTTAGCGCATTGAAGTTTTAAATTTTATGGCATTGCACTAATTGAAAACAACGATAGACAGGAATTAATGGTAGTTTTACCAATTCTTTTGATGTAAATTTCTTTGTAAAAAACTGTGAATAAGAAGACGCCTTAAAAGGTCAGAAAACTTACACTTTTCTCCGGTTATGATTCGTTTGCTAATTGCTGCCTCTCACCTGCTCCAGGAGGAAACAAAGAAACGGAACTATGACAATGTCACTTCAGTTCACTTTTAACTAAATGGAAACATTCAGAATTTTTTTGCTATTTTAAATTTACTTTTCATCTTTAGACGTTATTTCTTCGCTGTTTTTCCTGTTAAGAAGCGAGTTTGAATAACGTCAGAAATTAAGATTGTTTCCTTTTTTCCGGCTTTTCGAAAATACATCAAAGTGGTTAACAACGGCGTGTGATTGTGTCAAACGGTAAAAATTATTTTCAGTACTCGGCAGAATGCTAATCAGGTCACATGTTAAGTGGTCTTATTCTAATCTTCTCTTTTCCCTTAAAGTCTGACCAGGACGCGTTCGAGTGTTTCCTCTACGTTTATAGTCAAACACAGAATGAACTTTTCAAGTGCGTCATTAGCCGTTTGTATGGCGGCAGCTGAAAAACGTGCAGTGGAATCATTTCCTGTCAGTTTTTTTTAACTGTAAATTCAACTCAGGACTTTCCTCCAAAGCTTAACAAATTTTTTTCATAGCATCCAAGTGTTCATGACGTCTTGAAGGCTTAAATGTTCCCTGAAACAAGATAGGGCCAAATCGTTTACAACAATAGTTCGTTCAATTTCTTCACAAATCGCCATTCTTCTCTCAGGATGAGTCTTTCGATAGTAGTGGAAAAAATGATGATCTAGAGCCTCGTAAAAACGCCCACGGACACGTTCATTTGTTTCTTCCTCTGAGCTTTTCTGCTCTTTCGCGGTGCAATTTAAAAGCTTCTTGTTGTCGTCCGTGAACGACTCCGTTGTTCTCCTTTCAACTTCAAACATCGCTATGTAAGATGTTATATCGCTGTCTCCGGTTTTATTGACATCAATCCTTTTCCCACTGAAATCCCTGACTTCGACGATATTATCCCTTTCTGTACATGTGCGCAGCAAATCCATATTTTGATCGAATGTCAGAAGTTCGTCGTGTAATATCTGGCTACAACTACCTTGATAGGCTCGCCCTGGTCTTAGCCGCCTTCGAAGCAAATGTATGGGTTTTTTTAATGAGTTCTCGCCACCAAGGGTGCCTTTTACCATCTCACCCCTTACCGAATGGTTATCGAATCGATTTCCTTCAACAGTAAATGCTTTCGAGCGAGCGTATGTCTCATCGCTCCTGGTCACCTCTTCCGAGTCCTTCTTTCTTTCAATCGAAGACGTTATGTGGTGTCTGGTGGCTCGGCCCACAGTTCGATATTTCATGTTCACATTTGTGATCTCGTAAGATTTGAATGTTTGTTCCCCATGGAGACAAGACTCCGCATTGCTTTGCCCGGTAAAGCGCTTTCCAATTTGCGGAAGCCGCAAAAAGCTCAAAGGAGAGTTGTCTTCTGCACTTTCGCTGGAAACCGGGTTTTGAGTGTTCCCGATTTTTTTCGTAATCCTTGGTAATCGCGTTTGATTCGTTGGTTCCTTGCCTGTTGGATTTCTGTACGCCATTCTCAAATGTTGCTTGTCAACTGATGAGCTATCAGAGAGTTGCACGATTCCCCCTACATTATTCTAAATTAGAGCGCGCCAACTTTCAAAACTATCTGAAAAAAAAGCGAAAAAGCAATAAAACATGAAAAGACGTGCAACGAAACGTACAAACACGAGAGAACAGAGGTGGTCTAATGACACATGGAAATTAATCGCTTTTAAGACAAAAACAAAAACACATGCGCTGTCGAAAACAAGAGGCGTCGGCACAAATTCCCAGTTGTCATTAGCACTCTATTCTCCACTTCTTCCGATGGCGGTGACATCCCTCCATCTGGAAATCTGCCTGAGGCGAAACTGATAGCAACTTGCTGGTTCAAGTAAACCGATCGACAGAATTCATGAATAAGATAAATCAACTCAGCAGAACCTCACGCTTTTGCGAGAAAGAGACGGGGAAAAAGAGTGCAACCCATATATGCTAAGCGGTAATTTCAAATAATTATTTTTTTTCTAAAGGATGAGCTATTTATGCTCCTAACGTTTTCACTGAGCGGTCAACAGTGTTTAAGAGGTTTAATGCTATTCCAATTCTAATTTCATCTTTTCGTAAAATGTATCTCTTAAGACTACATGAAGGTGACTCTGAAACCGACTTTGATCGATCTAAAATTTGTTCTCAACTTGAAACTCATTTTGAAGAAACACAAGAAACAATAAAGGGGCTCCTAGCTTTTTATCTCTGATTTTAACATCTGCCTACCTCAAAAATTGGTCTCAGCCATAAATTCAGAAAAGAAAATTGGTTTGAATATACATATTTAGATTACACTTATTAGGACCAGTTATTCGTCATTTATTTGTTCAAGTCAACTATTCGAACATTTGCCAAGGCAAGAATTGACCGCTATGGCAGATGATTTCGCAACCTACTATAACTGTCCGTTTTAAGTAACAAACCAATATCTTTTTTGCTTCAGGCAACCGCTTATCTCTGGATTTCCGTCGCTTCAGCTCCTGTCATGCCAGAGTGTTTTGATTGGCTGATCGCTGTCAATTTTCCCATTAACTTTGAAATGTATTTTTCGTCGTTATGTGTATCCAAGCTTTATGAAATTTGTTGCAACACATTTTTGACACTTCAATTCCTTCCTTAACCCATTCATTATAAATAAACAAATATTTTGTTTCAAAGGGCTATTTTTAACACGTGGATTGGCTCGATCTCAGGGCCCGAACCGTATTTCGGCCACACCGTCGTGGCGAAAGGTTGAAAGCTAAATACTTTTCTTTTTGTGCTGTTGTTATCGATAATAATTGGTTTTCAAATCAGCCACTCGCGTATCTTATTTAATACCAGAGGCTAAAATGATCATTAAAGGTTGACTTCGGTATAATAATTAAATATATTTCATTGCTGATCTTACCAGTCGATGATATGATTTTCGAAAAATCTGTCTCGGCAGGTGAAGCGTGTTTGTTCCGGGGAGTTGTCTTAAATGTGTTGATAGAACTCTGCTGAAAGCGCTTTCTATTTACCACTCTGGATTGGACTGATTTTAGGAACACGTGTAGGCTTAGGCCTTTTTGTTGCCCCCAACCTTTTTCCGAACTTTGTTTTGCAGACTCGCCTTAGCCAGCTGGGCCCTGATACGAGAAATCGAAGCAGTCCTTCATTTTCTTGTACCGAAGCCTTGCTAGCTTAGAGCATCGATGGTATCCAGGAAAAAGAACTCCCCACTTAGGCGTACATGCTGGGGGACCGGGGGGGAGGGCTGCAACCCCCCACATTTCGGGAAAGTCAGAGTTTTTTGGCAGTAAGAGGGATGTGGGCGAAGTCAGCTTTTACAAAAGTTTCCACGTGTGCGTGGGTGTGTGCATGTTTTTTTTGTTTTGTTTGTTTGTTTTTTTTTTTTATCTATTTTAACCTAGGTCGGCGTGGTAAAACCATCTTTTTTCAGACGGTGTGTGCTGATAATAATCCTGAGCAACACTAATAGTCTGTGCCGAAATCTTCAGGGGAAGACGGCCAACGTTATCTCTGTTATCACGTAGAAATACCGGCATGACCATTCAGACCTTACGCCAGTGTCAGTGTGAAGAAAGTTTCAACAGCGTATAGTAGATAAGAACAGTAATGGATCTGAAAATGGAGAAGTGGCTAACAAACTCTCAGTTTGAATGGCAAGAAGCCAGGACACCAGGCCAAACACCGACACGCTGCCTTCGAGCCCTTTAAGGTGAACATGCGCAGAAACAAACACAGCTAACAACGGAATCGCACTATCGTATTAACACTTACTAGGCGTCCATCGACAAGGTACTGTCCGACCTTGAGCTCACTGGGGTTTCGCAGAAATGATCCTGAAACACTCTGTGCTTTGTGAAATATCTGTCACAATGAAACTCTTGATAAAGAAAGCTTATCCCGCGTTGCTAAAATTTACAAAATCGACGGCGAGAAGCCGAGCAGAAAATGTATGTGAGTTTTCGTCTTGTGCGCGGATAGGTTTTGACTGTTTTAGAAATGGTGGAGGCAATGCGCGAGAGTGATCCATTTGATATGTTTCCAGAGTTTTCTAAAGTGATATATATCTCTGTGTTCTGCGGAACGATCATTCAGTGCGTTGCGTAGATTGAAAACTTGCCTCCGCAGCACCATAGCAACAAGGGCAACAACGTGATTAACATTGAAGGGCCAACTCAGTAGTCAACAATGACATGGATCGTGTCATTGTTGTCTTTGGCCGTCGAAATGGGAGAGACGGTTTTTTCTTTTAATGTGCTCTGCAAGCTCATATGATAGATTCATATGTACAATATTTTCACTTCATATGTAGGTGTACGTTAGTGTATCGTATGACCCTCTCTTTTTTTCGACTATTTCGTAAAAAAAATTAGGCAACTTGCAGGAATCTTTTGGGCAAAAAAATTATTAGTTTTAAAATACTTCTTAGACTTGATAGCTCCCTGCTCACTAAAAAACAACAACAATAAAAACAACAACAACAACAGAAAAAACAGCAAAACAAAAAAAAAGCAAAATAAATACAGTACAGAAAATATAAGAAAAAAAAAACTATGCCAACTTCAAAGAACTGCGCTAGTATATACGCTCATGTGAGCAGAATTAACGATACAAATGTTGACAGTGAATAAATGGTTAAATAACGATATATATCTCTAATGAATATCAGTAAACCAAAATCCTTCCCACGCCGCAAGTGCCATCGACACTTATTCATTTCTTATCTAGTTGTTTCGGTTTTTGTTTTCACTCCTCACCAGTGTGTTTTTTGTCATGTTACTGAGCACAACTTGGGAATAATGGCCCCGTTATTGTAAAGTATGCAAAGTATAAATAGAGCAGCATTTGAAAATTGTCTTAAGCATTTATATTTAGTGAATAGCTTGCGCAGGTGAAAATAAGGAGTTTATGCAATTAACTCGCCCAGTTTTTTCAGCTGTTCTGATTTTTGACAGCGATAATATAATTTAAAGTATTCCTTTGAGATTTCATGTCGAGATTTCTCTTTACATGAAGAAAAATTCAAGAGTTTGACAAGGGTTCTCGCTAACTTACTAACGAGAAGAAAAAAGTTTAGTGAAGATATACGATGCTAACGACACTTTAAAGTGAAGTCGGTGGCACTTAAATGAGTTACGACAACCACGTTTTTGGGCAGGAATAGCGGTGAATTTCCATACCTAATGGAGCTGATTCTCTGACAAAAATAGATGTCTGTTTTTAAGAGAATCATTATTCCTGTAAAGCACGGCAGTATTAGTACAATTGTTTCATAGTTCGATTGTACACCAGATAGCGCAGAAGCAGGGAAATGGCGCAGAAATACGCGTCGGGTTTGGGCAAAACGAGATTACCGCCAATTCGAAGAAAGTTCCACTCTGCAAACAATTGCGAAGTAAAAGAGTTGGGTTTTGATCCCTCAGCCTCGCCATTCTCCCTTCCAAGACTGCCTCGAATTGGAAACCAACAGATTCCAGCTTCAAAGAGGACTTGTCCTGACAAACTAGAAAGACGAGGAAATCGGACATCGCTGAGTTTCACGACTGATAAAAAAGTTCCATGTCTACTAACAACTGCCCCAGAGCTCGATAAGCCGTTTGAAAGATCAGCGAAGAAGCAATGGCGAATCAGTATTGAAGAAAAGCTGATGGGGCCGGCTGCACACGGCGTCGATGGAGTTTACTCCAAGGAAATCGTGAAGGAAGGGTCATTGGAGTCCAATGAAAACAGAAGATCGTTTCTGAGACGCGATCACATATTTCGAAGACGTCTCAGACCGAGTAAAGCGTATCAACAGCAAGACAGCCACATGTCCCATCGAGAACTGCTTGCTTTTGATCAAAATATGGAACATCTGCTGACGTTTACAGAGAGAGACAAAGTGCTGGAATTGAGAGATTTTAATGGGAAAAAGATGAACTCAAACAAAACTGGTAACTATGACATAATGTCGTGCGTTTCGATGTTTGAGGTCGAAAAGGGGGTAGACAACAATACCAGTGAGGAAAGTGAAAATTGCGCTTCTATGAAAAAAGGTGGTTTTGAAGACAGCGAGCTTTCTTCGAGGAGAGAGGAAACGAAAAATCGTGTGCGTGGTCGGTTTTATGAAGCCTTAGATCTTCACTTTTATCACTATTACCGTAACGCTCATCCTCAGCGAAGAATGGCGATCTGTGAAGAAATCGAGCGAGGTATTGTGGTTGACAGTATTACACTGTCGTGGTATAGAGAAAACTTGCGTCTCCAAGACGTTTTGAATACGTGGGTCTTATAACGTTTGAGGGAAGTCATATCGACCTTCCCCCGCAAAAGCTGTGAATCTTGAAATGAAACCGTGCATGAGCAGCTTGAAATTGGCCATAGATTCAAGGATTAGAATTTGTGTTCGCTTTGTTTCCCGGGCGAGGCAAGAAGTATGACAATGTTGAGAATTTCATTATAAGATGAAAAAATTAACTGAAATATTATTTAATATAGTATACCTTCTCTATATTTTTGCTTTGCGTGTACATTGGAAGAAAATTTTGAGCCGATCGCATCTGCTCCGTCATGACAAACACAGAAAAATCTCAGGAACGGAAATTTAATTATACTCGTGTTTTTATTTAAAAGAAAAGACAAAAACGTGACGTTCTACAAGCCACGAGTAGACTAACCGTGTAGCCAAAAGTCACGTTGTCGTTGATATGAATCTAGGAGTCATATGTCATCCCAGAGTTAGTCTATTTCCGAAATAAGGCTCATCAACTGCGTAAGGTTCAATTTCAGTTTCCGCTGCATATATTAACGTGAACAGTTAACTTTACCCCGAAATTCGCCGATCGGGAAAGATAATTCTTTTTATTTTCAGTATAACGAGAGTGTGAAGAAAGAAATGAAAGGAAAAAATCTAAAACGAAACCTACTCCCAAACCAGTCCCCCCAGTCCCCCCTCCTTACTTCTTCTCTCTACGCACTCCTCTTTGCCTCGATTGCTTCTATGGAAATACACTCTCCTCTCCTTAACACCTTTAACTCAGTTGAGTGGCCAAAACAAAATTTCTCCTTATAATACCGATACAATTTTGAACAAAAAAAGGTTAGAGTAGAGAAAAACATCTGTTTGGGTATTCATTATTAGTTGGTCCGATACAATTCGAACTAACATCAAGGAGGAGAAATACGAATGAGATTTATAAGTGAAAGGGTTAAGTACCCCTTTTTTTTTTATTCCTCCCCCACTCACCTTTGTGGTTAACTCAACTATGACCTCCCTTCCCCCCCCCCTACCTCTTAAAAAATATTTTGCAATCGTTTGGCATATTGAATTATTCACTTCTACCTCGGTGGCTGATATGTCTCGTAGATTCGCCATCAGACACCAATCAATTTGAATTCTGTCCCAGGTTTTTCAAACAACTCATGAGTATGTTTTCACCAGCTTATGATAACAAAATTTTTGCAAGCCACGAACTAATGGCTAGTTATTATTTGTTCTGAGGGGTTTTTTTTTTTTTGGGGGGGGGGGGGGGGGGGGGGGGGGGTTAGAGAAAAGACAATAAATAATAGCTAAATATAACCTCCCGCTGTAATTTAAAGAGGTTTAGTCTCAGCGAGCCTTGGTTGGTATCTGTCTTCCGATCCGCATACCAGTTGGTATAATTGTTTTGTGATTAAATATTCTCGAAACAGTTCAACCCAAATGAATGAAAACGAAGCCGTAAATTGATGCTAGCTGTAAATGCTTTTGCTATTTACTGGTCTTTTGCGCCGGCGTAATTGTAGGTTATTCTGAAATTGATTCACTTGTGTCCCTCTCTAAGTTTTCATATTTTTTCTAGTTTATGCGTTTGTGTTCAAGTGCACCTGTAATTTGAAGTTCGTATGTGTTTAAAATTATTATTACACCTTAATTTCGTTACATTTATCCTACAAATTAAACAGAGAATTAAAAGCAGATTTAAAGAAAAATAATTTTAAAAATTGACACTTTGATCGAATTAGAATTAACGTTCAATTTTCACGTGTTTGCCACCTACATAGACCATGTGAAGTACTACCTTCAGTGCAGAAGCAAAATTGATAGCTTCGTTATTATATATTTCCGTCTGTTTTGCGACATGTTACAGTTTATTTGATAGTGTAAAAAATCATATTGAAACGTGTCATGAATATTTTAGTGGATACTATCAGCATTTTCTGACCGGCGGATGTAATTAAGTGTACCTGAGGTTTATCATCACAGAGAGAAAGTAACTTTGAAAAAATTAGTTCGCATCCTCTAAAATATTCAGATCTCGTGTCACGTTTATCAACTGAAAAGGACTTCACTTTGACTGAGTATTTCGAATAAGAAAAGCTCGTATGTGAACAATTGAACTGAATCATTTTCGTCGTTATCCTGACTTCTAATTGCTTTTTTCCCATTCTATTTGACTGATTGATAAACAAAACATTACTTCCCATGGAGCTGAGAGACAACTTTTGTTCGATGAGGTTGAAGATTTTTTTCCAGATGATATTTTATCGTATCACAAGTCATGGAGAGACTTCAATGAATTCAATTCACTTGTCAAACAAGTGTTAGATGTAAATTTTGATTATTTTTGAGGCTGTTTCATATGCATCGCAGCTTAGAATTTTCGAAAATTTACCGCGCCCATCTTTCCAGGACTTGGCATGGAAATCGAGGCCAGAGGGAGCACTGAGACACAGTGACCACTATCTCACTAGTAATGCTTGATTTTCTCTATAGCCACTCTTAAAGAATTGTCTACCCTTCGATTCGTTTTCTTGCATAAAAGTAACGTACATATTCGTGGGAGAAAGCTTAGCTATTAGTTTTACTTACTTTTAATTTCATTTTTCAAGCATTTGTAAACAAGCAGCGTTCATTATTTGCTTTCAAGTATTCAAAATGTTTGAGCAAGGCATTAGCAAAGCGAACAAAGTGAACAATACTTTTTTCATTGTAGCTATTCAAAAGTGACAAGCACATGTGAAATGGCAAGCGTTTGAAGATGCCGATGAAGTTTCTCCGTAAAGATCTTAATAACATTTTGAATGGTTGTTAGAAAAAAAGTAATTGTTGTCTTGGTCCTTTCCATTTCCTATCAATGATGGAGACCCACAATTCAACAAATATGGTAGTTTGGTTATCGACAGGCCAGCAAAGTTCAAAAGAAAAAAGGCAATCTTTGTGTATTAAAGGCACCTTTTTGTAAACAATGAAAGCAATAACTTTTCCATAAGAACGAAGTACTTTTGCTAATCCTACCCCCACAATAAGTCTAATTCCCAGCGGAAGCAGAAACCAAAGTTCGATTTCCATTTTTTAAAGTTGACATTTGATGAATCACTTTTTCTTCTAATTGCACGCAATTAACGCATCGAGAAGCGAAACATCTTTTGCAAACAACACCTTGATTGATGTGGTTGTTATGGAGTGGAAGAACAAGTCAAAACAATCCATAAGTAAATTGATATTGGATGAAGAAGACGGCGCCATGAAGCCAACATTCAGGTACCATGGTTTTGTTTGAATTGCTTGAGTTGAGAACATTACTCGGTTCTTGAATTTCACCGAAAATATCATCCTTCCTTTTTTCCTCGAGTAAATTCTCGAATTCGTTTTCAAAAAAAAATTCGGCACAACGGAACTTGTGTGTTTATTTTGGTCATCATAGATTTACGGCTGTGAACAACTGAATTCGTTATCAAGGCGTGAAGTTTTGTAAATAGTTTGATGATTATTTGTACCTTTCCATATAGTGAAAGTTATTGCGTATAAATCCGGACGTTTTTTCGAATCATTTGAAGACCCATTCAGTGGTTATTAAAAATCATCACCAAGCTTTTCGTGGAAGTCGGTCCGCAACCTGTTTTGCGAGGACTTAATTCCATACGTTTTCCTAGCTATCCGGACTAAATATGCTGCATACATTTCGAATGAAGACAACATTAAGTTGTCTTTTGTCCAGCCACAAAATTTACACCATTCTCAAATCTAACTTACATCGGCAAGATTCATATTCGAAGTGTACTTTATTTTTCAGCAAGTGAAACTGATCGATCTCGTGAAAAGCGAAATGTCAGTTGCCTATGAGTTTCCTTTATCATTCCACACTATTTCCGATAAAATACGTTAGCTTTCGATTTCAGAACTGATTCAACTTAAGTAACATGTATGTAACTAAAACTTCTCCCCCTTCATTATACAGAAGACTTAAATTTTACGTATGAAAACTGATATCAATGCAGCAATATGGAAAAGGAGGTTCAAATACTAGTTCCGGTAAACGAAGTGAGGCACCGTCTTCGTTTCACTGGCGACGAAAAGTTTAATTAGTACGAATTTGGAAATAATTTTTCACCAATGCGTTATAAATGATCCAGTTTTGTGTCAGTGCATTTATTTTTAGCGGAGTGGTGTTCGATTTTACAGAGGAAAACATCCTAAAATAAAGAGATATTCAGGGACATTAGCAGGTGCAAAATGCAATAAACAGAAATTTGAATAAATATAAATCGCGCTTCTGGCGACATTACTAGACTTCTTATTATCATATGAGTTTTTGTTCGAAAAAGTTGATCACGTCCAACGAAAAATTGTTACGACTAAATAATGAATATATTAAAGAAAACGAGAAGTGTTTATGGGCAGAACTAAGGGTTGCTGCTCTTCATTCAAAAGCTCATAGAAATTCAAACAGGAACAACTTTTTTTAAATTACAAGCCGCATCAACGAGAATGTTTTTATCATGTATTTCCTCACACTCTTGTTAGAATAACGATTTTTCACTATGTGGATAACTTTTCTTGCACTGTTATAATTGAGTGAAATACATCGCTTTGTCTCAGTGAAGGGGAAGGCAGCGTGATGAACAAAGTCTCTCGTTCGTGATACTGTATTGATAATGATTTAGTTATTGACACTTTCATTTTCAGCACCGTTTCTAGTGACTGGATCCGAGTAGCAATTGGAAAGAATGGATTTGTAGAAGCATTACACGAATTACTTGGTGTAAAACTCAAGACTTCTATCATTTCATTAGATAGTTCAAAGTCAACAAGTGTTAAGTTTAGAATTATCAACAAACTTCAATATGAGCCATTTTTGGAGGAAAACGAACGGAGAGTATCGGACATAATTCAAATTTATCCAAAGGAGTTTGTGTTCGAACCTTCTGCTGAGCTTGTATTAAGACTGCCGAACTGTGTGGCTCCAAAATCTTGTGGTCAACTGGTTTGCCTTTATTGCAGTAATGTTTGGGTGAGACATGGTATAAAGCATCTCAAATGGAAACCTCTTGACTCGTTCTGCTTTCGTGTAAATGCAGAGAGAACTGAAGCAAGAATCATATGCAGGAAAAGCGGACTGTATACGATCAAAATGACTCAGCATCCCCAGACAACGAAAAATCTGGATCCATACACTGACTGCGAGGTAGAACTAAAGGAATACCCAGGAATTCAAATCAAGTTCCCCGCTGGTTGTGTGTCCCGAAAGACACCTGTCACATTAGAAACAATTTGCACAGATGAGTTGTACAATCTACCAAAACCAGTCCCAACTTCATCTAAGTCACACAGCACGTGGATTATACCTCAGAAGTGTGATCCAGGGGACCACGACGAAAGTAACTTAGTGGATATTACTTCCAGCCCAGTTGTTCTCGTTCGCCCGTCAAAGTTTCGTTTCACAAAGCCTATTCAACTTACCCTACCTTTGTTGGGAGATGGTTTTGAAGATTTCTTTTCCAGGGAGAACGCGAGGATAGCTGTTTTGCAGAGCAAAGTTTTGGATGAGGATAGGGTTTTATGGAAACATCATTACAGCACACCCGAGGTTAGATTCCCCTCTTTTAAACTCTCTTGTAATTCAAGAAATCAAATAAGTGTTTTTTTGGTCTGAGTGCATCGTATTACTTTTGGTCATTGCAACGTAAAACAGCTCTGCTATGATAGTCTTAGTTTTTGTGGAACTAATCAGTTTTATTGCTAGTTACATTAAGTGACAGTTTATGTAAGCCCCCTGGATGTTTGCAAACTGGCATATCTGATACAGAGCTTCAGAAGAGAAGTATATCTTCAAACTCGATTTTCGTGAGGCATATCTCTGACGTAACTAATATAAGAGCTGAGGAGATGATTCGCGAGACCCAAAAGCTTTCATTATCATTTAAGGTATTTCACAAATTCAAGCTCAGCGTTGCCAGAGGTTTTGTTTGAAGAGACAATATCGAAGTGCACGCCTATCCTTACCTGCATTTAACTAGAGAGATAAATAGGGAATTCATAGAGTGATTCGTCCAAAATTCAGTTTCATCTACATTTATGTTAATTGTATCTCGCCCTTAGAAAGGTTAGAGGACCATATCGTGCTTCATTATATTTAAGACTTGTAACGACATAATAACGGTTTCTTTTCTCATCATTATTTTTGATGCTTTTACGCGTAGAGGTAGTTTTATTCATTTCAAATTTTACTCTTAAGATTAAAACTGCTGCAAACGGTTTCAAGATTGCTTCATTTCTAATCACAAGAGGAGGACTTTATAAGCTTGTTCGACGAATATCCAACAACAACCCACGCTACGTTGAACAAATAGCAGGCTGCATTTCAAGAGAACTCCATTATTCCGACAATGACAACAACAACTTCGTCACCTCTTCTCTTCGAGGCCTTATGACCGAGGTTGCAGAGCCTGGGAAACAGTTTGTCCTGAGAGTGGCTCTCTTTGACGATTCTCAACCGAGAAATCCCGACAAATGCTTCATTTCTGAGGTCTGCTCGCAGCCGCTGACCCTACCCCTTGGTAAGATTCGATTCCTTGTGCGAGGGAGCTTTGCACCTGACAGGGATGCCGCCGACCATACCGAAGAGCGAATTGTCATGTTCACGGGAAAAACGACGTTTGTCGATTTCTATTTGAAATTTAGGCTCAGTGATCCCACAAAGCTTCCTGATTCTATCGGAAAGGTGTCAGTTCACGGAGCTGGAGATGTGCAGTTCTTCATCAACCTGCACAAACCAACACAGGTATTCATGACCATCACGACCTCTTGAATGTTAAGTAAATAAATGTTTGTAACACATCTTGGTGAATGAATGGATAACCTGCTTAGCCTGATTTTAAAAAAATTTTAGTCCAAATTTATATTATCATGTTTATAAGCATTAACCTTAAAATAGGGACACAAACTGTATGAGTTATTTTCAGTAGTACATTTAGCTGTCGAAGAGATTATGTGTATAATCTCTTGAGTAGTTATGATTTTCAGCTCGATCGCTCTCCTGCTTTCAGATAGAGGAACTAGATCCTAATGGAAATCCGGCGAGAATACAAGAAAAAAGAAAACAACCTAAGCAATTACGAAAACGTCAAACTGTGGCAGAATTCAGATCTTTAAGAGAGACAACCATTCAAGGCAAGTCAACTTCTATTTGCTGAAAGTGAACAAACCATTATTCATAGTATGCTATGATTTTAAAAATCATTCTTATCCATTTCTTTGTTATTCATTTCCTTTACAGAAGATGACGAGGTTTCTTCTTCTCCTGATACCAGTTTGAAAGCTCGCCATTCTTTTCCAACTTTCTCCCAACCAGTTCTCAACTCTGCGATATGCACGAATTCTGCACAGAGTACAGAAACTCTTCCGGAAATTTCATGTGATCCATTGACACCATCCCGCGCCACTATATTTCAAACGGATGAGTTGGAGCAGGACTGGGGAGAGCTCAGATAACTTTTGTTAGAACATAATACTCCTTTACATGCACAGATGGTTAGAAGTGGAATTATAATTCAACTTTGAGAACCTCAAGATCTCTCCGACAAACACCGTGCTTTTCGAATATGATAAACATAAACTTTTTCTGGTATGGTATGTACCATCTGAAACAGTTGATTTCTATAGATTTAAGTTTCAGAACGTGATCAGCTTTAGTAATTTAATTCGAGCCTGAGATGTTCTATCTTCTGCCAAAGAGAATTTTTTTTGGTTACCAATCGACCGTTCATCGTGCATATACATCAATTTCAGACAGAAGCACGATTTACTGTCGGAGTTTTGTCATCTTATTACATTTCATGAGAAAACTCACCAATACCTTCGCGCGCGCATAAACCTCACCAAGTCCACGCGCGCTTATTCGAACTTTGTGACGTTTTCTCGCCTCGCGCGGCTCCATAAAAACGATTTTCAGTAGAAATGGAAGACGAGATATAAACATTTTAACAATGTCTTGCTGCTCATCGGACTCAGTTCGTGATAAACTCCAGCCTTACCAGTTGCGTGCTCTCTACGTAAGACAGATTGCTCGACTCTCTCAAAAAGGAATATTTGGAGAAGCAATAAATGTATTTAAAGAGGTAAGCTTAGATTTGTTAATCGCGAATAAACAGTAACCGCATGCTGCTTAGCTGTCACGTAAACACAAGTTAAAACATTCAGTTATGACCTGTTGAATGGTTACTTTTTATCATATCAACCAGTTCTTTTCTTTCGCCACCTCTGAGAGCAAATAAATTTGACATTGTAGGGCAATAATTATTCCTTTAATAGTTAACATGAACAGCAGTGCGCTTCAAAATCACAATTACGTTGTCTGGCGTTGGTGATTGCGATGGTATAAACAACATATTTTGTCGATAATGTAAAAGCGTAGCCAAGAGACCTAGGTAAGATTGCATCTGTGACTTCTGCAGAAGGCCAAATTAATTCGTTTAGGAAAAGCCTTGATCTTTTTTAAAAGCAAAACAATTGACAAAATCCTACTGGCTAATGTCTTTGCTAAGTAGAAAATTAAGCTAAACGACTGGATCTCACTACTCTTTACAACATCGCGCCACTTTCTCGGCCAATCAGATTAAAGAAATAAACCAATCACGACTTGGTCACTCGCATTTTACTATTACTTTGAGTCAGTGATAGGCTGCTGATGATTCCTCCTCCGTTGTCGATGGCAGTTGTGATTATTTCAGTTTTGCTTTTACGATAGTCAAGCGAAAAGAGTTCTTATGGGAGATCCAGTCTCTCCACCTGTTACTCTCTTGCTTTATTATCCACATGGTAAGTGCTTCCTTGGCAAAAAGTTTGAATTTTCTCCTGCGTCTAGATTTCAAAGAATCTCGGGGTAAATTCAAGGACTAAAAGGCTCAGTAATCTGGCTATGCCGGATCTCCTTAGCGCTAATGAATTCCTTGTTGATCGGGATGCACATCGATATTTACAAAGGTAAGCTTAAAGTTTCAAACTCCCGTTAGCACGCAAGGTGTCAATCTTATTTGAAATCCTCTTGATATATCTCTGTCAAAGTTCTGCTGTGTTTGCATGTGCAGCTTAAGACCGTTAACAATATCGCTATCATCCATCACCAAATGACCAGCATTTTATCGTTCACTGTCAGCATTCATTATCACCTGTGCCCGATAACTTCGTTCATCACAAATGTCTCTTGCATTGCCTTACCTCACTGAATTTAATGTCTGAAGGTTTTTAATTTTTGAAGGGGCATTCTGGATGAGTTAAACTTTGCACTGGAAGCAAACTCCACCAAAAATCTGTCGGAAACAAATAGAAAAAACATTGCCACCTTTACGTAAGGTCTTGACTCATCTCCATTTGACAATGAGTTCAGTTCCACTGAAAATACTAACTTTCACACTTCATAACTATAAAGAAAGATCTCGAGCCCCTTCCAAGAAATGGGTTAGGGGAAACTTTACATTGGAAACAATGAATTACTGTCTTAGAGTCAGGTATTCAATAGCGTGTGAGTTTCCACGTCAATTGGTCCCCATCCACAAGTTTTTTTGTTTGCGCGGAAGGGTCGTTTTCAGAATTTTAGGCTCATTTTATTCATAAAATTTATTTTTTTGTGAAATGATACGTTCTACCCAATTAAGAATAACGTAAAAAAAAACGCTTAGCCTCTAAACCTTTCTTAGACTTCAGGAGGCACTTCTCGATAGAAATGGGCGCCAAATCTGCCACATATGCAAACTGCTTCTTAAACATTTTGACTTCGACCCAGCGAGTGACATCATGGATGACCTTGAAAAAGCCAACAAAGTGACATTGTCGAAATCCAATCTGTCAGCCATCAGCATATATGGCCTGGACTTGTCAAAGACGAAAAACATGAAGAAGCTCACCGCACTTTTGTTCAGATGTCCCAATGTTAAGAAGATAGAGCTGGTGTTTTGCTCGTTAAACAATGTTTATGCTTTGAAGCTGCTTGATGTCACTATGACACTGAAATCTCTTTATTTTATGGGTAAGTAAACGAATTCCTTGGCAAACATCGACAGTAAGAAACACGACACACACAAGTACAATCAAATCTAAACCAAAAAATTTTCAGGGGGCTTAAACTTTGACGGAAATTATTGACCGAAAATAAGACTGCAGGTTGAGACGATACTAATTAAAACAGTCGTAACCTTTGAGCTCAGACTGCTAAAATTCACAAAGATGAAAACTGAATAAATACGCAAGGATCATTGCGTAACTCCAACCCCCCCTTCCCCCTCCCCTCAAATCCCTTTCCTGCCTTCCACCCTATTAAAAGCCCGCCTCTGAGGTTAAACTCGTATGACGATATTTGGACATTTGAAGAACTTGACATTCTAAAAAGACACTGACTACAACTAAGAGAGAGGAAAGCTTTATCGAGCTTTTTTAAAAAAAGGTGATATCGCTCTTTCCTTATCAAAAAAAATATATATAAAAAAAAGAAAACAGTCATCCAGAGCGCTGCGATAACGCAGTAGCGAAGACAGTCGCCTCCCACCTCTTAGACCAGAAATCGATTCTCGATCCTGGCTTCACTAGTGGGTTGTTTGTTCTCATATTTTTTGTGAAAAGTTTTCTTGAATTCTGTTTCTGCCAGCTCTGCCACCACGCTGCTTTTCTGGAAAGACCCGTGCTTAATCGACGACAGCTATTGTGTTTTTTCTACATAGTGAAGCCAATATTCAACTGCCCAACTGTTTCAATTTTGGACAATTTAGTAGTCATCTTGGAATCTTAAGTTCTCTATTAATTATTTTTGATTTTTACTTCTTTTTAGGCTTACGCGGCAATCAAATTGATATGAAACTTGTGCTTAAGCTTCTCACCTTGTTAAAAGACCCAAAATACTTTCCCAATCTGTTGTGGGTAGACCTACGAAACAATAACGGAATTATTACCATTCCCGGCCAGTTTGTTCAGCTCCTAATGGAGCGAAGAACACAACTCATTGCTTTAAAAGACACTGATGAGAAAAAAAAATCTATAAGTGTTCAAGACGCCATAAATGGAAAGGTAGTTTAAATTATCTTTAGGAACTTTTATCCTTATATATAGATGTTGTATTCCTGTGTTAAAAATATTCATATAAAGACTAAGTGTAACAGGCGTTTACACTTATCAAGATTAACACGTTTTATTGTTGCTATACACGGTTTATTACAAAATGTGTCTATACACATCACTGAGTGTTTAAATGATTAAATCATTACTAATTGGAAACTTAGGAATTTGCGATGCAAGCGTTTAGGTGGGAAGCGAAAGACATTACATTATACACTTAAGGACCCGCCTAGCCTAGCGACTTGATATAGTTCTCACCATGAATAGCACAAATTAAGACATTTTTACAAATTCACTATAATCGATCTCCCCATCTCCATCCTCGTCAAGAATTTCCACAAGTTTATCAAGGTAGAAATCGCTCATTACCCTTAAACGCTTCATTCCATCGATGAACTCCACTCGAGACAGGCTGTCACGAAATTGACAGTCGGGATCCAAGCGTTTAAACAAATCTGACGCATGAATCTTGTTTTTGTCCAAATATATCTTCAGGAAGTCAAATGGATTAGTCTCTTTCTTCTTGGACACGAAACAGTCAGATTTTTTACAGCCATGATGTACAGTCAGCCCTGATCGATTTTCTAAAACTTTTGCAAGCAGAGTTTCACAATCTTGATCGAGCTTTATGTCTAAAATCGCCAGGATTTTCATCGCAGGGGCCCCATTCTTATGCAGCATTTCCAATAGCTTATTAACGCCCTGGCAAGCATTGAAGATCAAATTATGATTGAGTATTAGCACTTCCAGCTTCTCACTTCCCTCGAGACCTTTCGCAATGTTTTTGATTCCTTCGTCCGAGATTCGATTGTTGCTTAGGTTGAGTTCTCTGAGTGCCGAGTTTCGTTTTAGAGACTCCCCAAGCTCTGCAGTGCCAGTGTCATCAAATCCATTCCAAGAGAGATCAAGATTTTCCAGTGAATCATTATACCTCAGGCTCTTCGAAATAGCCTCAGCACCTCTTCTTCGAATATGGTTCCAGCTTAAGTTTAGCTCGAGGAGAGAATTGTTGTAAGTAAGTGCAGTTCCAAAAGAAACACCTGATTCTTCAGAAAACTTGTTGTAGCTCAGGTTCAAACAATGTAAAGAGCTATTGTTTTCTATTCCCTCGGCCAATAATGCAGCGTCTTTTTCCCCAAGACCGTTTCCAGACAAATCTAATTTTCTAATAACCGTGTTACTCGGCAGAGCTTCTGCTATGGCGACAATTCCTTCTCGCTTGATATTGTTGTTGGCCAAGTTCAACTCAGTAAGGGCTCTGTTTTTTGACAGAAGTTTTCCCATGTAAATTCCTCCTTTGATATTTAGCTCGTTAAACGCAACGTGTAGCTTGGAGGTTGTTTTGTTCCCCAAGAGGACGGAGGCTATGGCTTTTGTCCCCATTTCTTTCAAAAAGCGATGGTTAATCTTGATCTCCTCATGACCAATCTCGTTCCCAAATCGAGACACGGGGATGACTCCCAACGAGTCACACAATTTAAGGTACGTTTCCTTGTCGGAAGTAGCTTCATCACCCTCGCTATCAGAGATATCATCGTCCTCGAGGTCTGTATCCCAGTGAGAGCTAGTGAAAGACTGCGTTTCATCTTCCTCGTCGACCCTTTCATCTGACCGCAAAAGAGCAAGGGTAGAATCTACTTGCTTTATTGTACTCGAGGCACTAGAACAGGCCGATCGTAAACTCGGCGCTTGGTTGTTGGAGCGACTATCCACTATTGAGTGTGCTCGTGGCATGTCGGCCTCCTTTTATCACCTGTCAGTGAATTGTATTTTAACATCACTTGGCGATGAAATGGAACGGTCAAACAAAATAATAAGTAAACTGTTAATCAGGGAGGGTATGATGATTACAAGATGTTCACTGGTTTGTTTTTAACCCGTTCCGGACAAGTTTGATCAAGTTTGTTATTAGTTTTAACGAAACACGCCGAGGAACTTTACCTTTGTTTGTTAAACACATTTCTCGAACCACATGTGTAAACAAAATGCTTATTCCAGGTGTGCAAAATCATTTGCACGCACGCAAAATAATAATGTTAAGAAAACGTTGACTATTGGAGACTTGCAACACCAATTTAATTCTCTTGTATCTTAGGGTTTCATGTATGACGGAAGTGTAGTCAAAATGAACTTAAGTTCTTGTAGGTGAACGGTTTTAATTGTTTTTCTAAGCTGTTGGCCAAAACACATCCAAAAACAATGTAGTGAACTTACTCTCAGTCAGAGATTCATCCTGCCCGGTTTTAGTGCCAGATCTCAGCGTAGAATATCCTAGCTTATTAGATATGTGAGATTCTCGGGCGGTTGGTTTAAATGTTAGAATAGTAAACGAAGTGCGAGAGGCTAGTTGCTAGGCTAACTTTGAACTCTTTTAATTAAACAATTTATAACCAATTCATTGTCATTGATAGCTTTGGGATTAGCACCTTTTATGTGGGCTTCTCTAGAGACCGCCGCATTTGATTAATTGTGTAATCACAATAATAGTAAGATCTTTTGAAACGGATTAAAACAGGAGGTTTTGTTTGGAGGTAAAAAACATGCAAATATGTCACTCCAGATATAATAGACATAAATTTTTTATCCTAAACACGAAAGCCATAAGAAGAGATCTATATGTCTCACTCGTGCATGTTGGATCTTCGTGTAGCGAGAGATGCATTTCTCAGTCCTATATGTACCACGTATCATTCAGTAAAACCTACAGTGATTGCGCTGTTGTAAGACAGATGTGGTTTCAAATCAACTGAAGGATACGTTACAAGCGAATCAGAAAATATATATTATCATAATCTCTCGCCGAAAAGCTATTCTAAGAAGGTTAACTCGATTAAATTCAAGAGATATTATCGATATTTGCTGTGCTAGCTATTTCAGTCTGTAATAGACAGGGCAGTTTGTTAACTTTCAACATAGAAATTTTCTTACCAAGTAGCCATAACCAAAAACTTCACTCCTCGAAGAGATATACTCCCAAATCTATTCCTTCTACATGTTGAATGATTTGTGCCATTTCAGTTGAGTAAGGCATAGGTAATCATTGAAGTCTTTCTTTGTGATGAGTAATAATTTAGTAACAGATCTAAGTGGGATTAATATCAAGTTCACGGATAAGAAGACAACTCTTACATGTGTAACCACACAGACACACAACCAGTCATCCATTATTCAATCCATACGTTTATGGCCGATGCAAATTACGAGTTAGTTTACACTACTGTACAAACAATAAAACGATACAGCTCGTCAAGTATAACATTTCATGACAATATTTGCATCGTTTTTCGATCTCATTGACTTCTGCGGTAAATTATGTCCACTTTAATAGCAAGCTAAAGCCTATATGAAGTGCGTCTATCAGGCAAAATCGTAGTACTGATTAATTTGGGTGAAAAAACTGGGAACAGACGGGTAACAACGTCCAAGACAGCAAGAAAACGAAAAAATAAACAAACAGAAGTGTTTTATGAATTTAGGTATAGCATTAGTAAGGTCAAGATAAACATGAGACCCCTCGTATTACATTAAATTTGTAAAGGTTCGTTGGGGGTTGGGTGAGTAACGCTTTTCCTCCGGAAAAAAATCGCCATTTAGCTGTTTAATGTTCACAGAGTTATCAGATGGTTGGCATCATCTACCTTTTAACCAGGCGGACCAAGATGATTGGAATTTGTTCTAAATGGACTCATGCATTCTACACCTGTTAAGGATCAGTAGCTGTAACTGCATCCTAACAGCACGGTTTTACCACGCGTTCTCACAAATTACTCTGCGCTATGCGAAACAGATCCTATTTCGTTGAAAATGAATGAATTTCCCTTGTTTAATTACCCCACTGATTGGAAATGATTTTGAGACGTTTTCCATTGTCGCAATTTTGATTTGATTGTGTCGACTTCTATTCTGACTTTTAACAGGCACAACTGAAGAACCCTGGCGCGCTTTCTTTAAAAAGTCTTACTGATCGTCCTTCTTGTCCTTCGGCTTTCTTTCAACTGGTCTGTTGATGCGATGTCTCTTATCTTCTCCAGCCATCGCCGCTCTACGTGCACCTTCTGCTGTTTTAGCCTCCACCGTGATTGGTCCGAACCCCACGGGCGAGTTTATGAGCGTCTCTCCTTGAGAACTAGGGACTTCTTCAGTGGAATAAGATCCTTCTTGCGAGATTCTCTCGCGGCCTAACACTTCTGGTTGTATTCCATCCAGGGCGTCTTCTTCTCTAAAGTTGTGTAGTCTCCTTCGGTATTGAGGTCTGTGGAAAAAACGTCGCGGATAGCTTGGGAAACCAAGTCTCAAGGGACGGCGAAATTGTGATCGGTCTTGAAGGAGATCACTTGATGTAAGACCTTGCAAAGAGCCGTAATCAGTTCGAGGACGAGTGAACGCACCCGTAATTAACGGTGACATTAAACTTTGAGAGGCGAAAGGTTGCGATAAAGCTGCTAAAGCTGATGGCGATCTTCCAACAATGCTGGAGGAACCCATTGATTCAAGTGGTGTCACCAAAGATGGCGTCATGTAGCGCAGTGGTGTTGAGGTCAGGGGAAGGAGACCAAGCTGTTGAGCCCCTGGTATTCCAACCGGCTGCTGCATACCCGTTGGTTGCATGCTAGTATCCTGCAAAGCAAGCGACTGACGGGTTAACGGTTGCTCAGGCAGCATCTGCGGCTGAAGCTGTAGTTGACGTAGTTGTAATGATTGTGGTTGCAAGGCCTGCTGAGTATATGATGATTGCAGTGGCTGTAGTTGCTGTAGAGTCTGCAGAGCAGGCGTTAATATCATCTGCCGCTTGTAGTCTTGGTCATAGTCACCTTGGAATAAATTGTCCATGCCGTCGGGATCGTCAGTAGTTAGAATCGGTTCAACTAACGCTTGTCGCTTCACTTTTGCTTTTTTATTTGTGTCATCCTGATGATCATGCTTCTTGTCTTCCTTACCCGGGGCTTTAGGAACCTTGGATC